TAACCTCTTCCGTAAAATAGCTATATTTCACTGACTCCTAACAGCCAACTCACAAAATTCATATCGTAGATAGAGTAGAGTGTGGCTGCATTTTTGTAAAAAGAAACAGCTTTCATCTCTCTTAGGTGAGGAGCTATTGACATTTTACGGAAAAGAAAGGAATTGCTTATATCTCATGAACCATCCAGTAAAAGAGGTGCAAAGTTGGTGGGTGATCAACATTTGGGAAGAGCTATGATCACACAAAATTAGAAGTACTTAGCTATCATGGCTCTTGAGTTACAGGGGTGTCGCTACTATTGCGCGATTATTTTTTGAAAAAATAACCCCGTCCTCAAAGGGTTAATAATAAAAGAACAAAACAAAAAAATCCTCGAAAAACGGACAAATTTCGGACAGCGGACACTTTGCGGAAAAAACTACAGAATGCGAAATTTGTTCGCAAAATGCGGACCATCTGGCAGCTCTGGTTATGACAGAATGCGAGGATAGTGATCACAGCACATTTTATTCTTTCATTTGACTCCACACGTTTCTTGTCACATGTATTGTGTTTTTTATAGCAGCTGATGAACGAAAGAAAAAAGATGTATTTTGTAACCGTATCACATGCGCAGAATGATCCTTTCTCGCATCTCCATGCGCTCATTTATGTATCTTCAGTGGAAAAGGTTATTTACTTTCAATAGGAAATATTTATTATGAATTGTGCAAGTAAAAAACCGAAAAATGGGGCCTTTTATTTGAACTTTTACAAGATGAGTTCGAGGGGGTATTCCAGTGTGTGGAGGTCTTCTAATGTGTTCATTCCTTTACTAATGCATGACTAGAAACCAGCAAATATTGAAAAATCGACTAAAACATAGTAACATTAGACACAAAATAGAATGTTCATATATAGGATGACATCGCCAAAATAAGACGGTGAATGATAACCAATGGTTACTCAAAGATCTTTGGTACAAGATGTCAAAATATTTCTGTATCAAAGATCTTGAGCCATGATCTTGGGTACAAGTCATTTTACAGTCAAGATCTTGGATACAAGATAATTTTTAGGATTTTGTACGCAAGATCATGGGCAAGATCTTAGGAACAAAAATATCTTGACATCCTGTACCAAAGATCTTGCCAAGATCTTTTCGAAAAAATCTAAGATGTCAAGATCTTGGTTCCAAGATGTTCGACTAGGGATGCAGTGTACTCGATGAAAGTAAAAAATCTCTCGTTGGATTAAATAGAGCAAAATGAACTATGAAACACCAGAGAACTGAATGTTGAATGAGAATAAGAGCCTCGTTGCAAAAGAAAGGCAACACGAATCGACAATCGTGATATTAATCACAATAAAATGTTTATAGTCGCATCATATTGTCTCTATCGGATTTTATCGAGATTATTATCTCACCCTTCACCCTCTCACTGCCAGAGTGTTAGATAATAAAATTTTTCTCTTAAACATTGCGTAAAAAATATTTTTTATCGCAATATTCATCGACATGTATTGCAGCGTCACGATAGATTGTAATAGCACATTGTTTTGAGATTATCGTACATTATTATTATATTTCCTTATAGAAAAATTCTAGAGAAGTTGTAAAGGGAATCTATATCACCGAGATCAACAAATAGTAAATATGTACATTTGAGACTAACAGAATCATGACAATAAAAGTTGAGAATAAGTTTTTATAGGATGGTAGAAAATGTTATGTTTAGTCATTGTATTTTTATTTATAAAACACGAGAATGGATTATTATTTCTTTTAATTGGAAAAACAGAGCCTATCTATGTCCTACATTTTGTTTTTTTCTGTCAAATAATTGCACTTTTTTACCTACCATCGAAATTATTTCCATATTGAAGATCCAACTACTCTAAAATAACAACATTCTGATGTGTTTTTTGAAAGTTTGCTGGAATCACTTAGTAACAACTACATCCAAAATGTTCTCTCTTTTTTTTGTTCTTCTTCTTTTTCTCTGATTTTGTTTTCGAGCAGGTTGAGGTATATTATTGAAAAATCAATACGAACGCTATTATTGTAAGTATAATCTTTTTGAGGCTTCGGCGAAAAAACGAAAATTTTTCATGGATGTTAAATAAATTATACAAAAGGAGAAAAATTTTCTATCATTTAAAAAAGCTTTACTTTTGCTTATATCATTTTCGTTAGTCAAATTAACATAGTTACGCAAATAATTAAGTATTCTATAGACGGACAAAAAGACATCTGATATTCAACCTGTAACTATATATATATATACATAGACATTACAAGCGATAATTGAAACTGATTTATCTTATAGGGCGTGTTAATATGTATTATTCATTCTACTATTTGATAATACTGATTTTGTGGTTAACACTTGCTGGTAAGTGGTTTCTTAATGAATTAATTCAAATTTGAGATTATAAAAGACAGATAGGTTTAGAGAAAAACTTCTCAAACATCATACAATAATATATCATATGATTTTTTGCATTTTGAATGAAAAATTTTTGCTTTAGAATTTTCTGTCATCCAGTATCCTATTTTATCTTAGCTGACAGTAGTATTGAATAGAAAAATCAATGATTACGAGTTTCAAGTATCCATCTCTATAGAATTTTCAGAAAATCTAGTAAAAAATCTACTATCAGATATGTCAAATTCTCACTTTTCATGTTCTATCCAAATGCCTCTTCTTTTTTAAAAGAGTTTTATCTCTTTGCTGAGACTCGCTATTTAAAATTGAAGAAAAAGAATTGAATATTTTAAGATTCAAAACTTAATTTAAAAATCAGAGTTAATTACGCTATTTTTAAAAATTTATTTTTGTTCAAAATGATTCATAAATATTCGAAGTACAATTATTTTATTGGAAAAATTTAAACACTCTTTACTCTTCGATAGTGAAAATTCTCCGGTAGACGTTCTCTTGTACTAAGAATAAATAAAAGTTTATTGACGTGCCTAATAGAGACATCTATAATCATCATTTCACATTGTAATGTTTATCCTAGTTACAAAACATCATTTGATCATAAAAGTTAAGTAAACACAAATGTAAACAACAATTTTTTTTTGTTAAATATTTTTCAAATCAACAAACGGTTTCTCTAACAAAATTAATATTTGAAAAAGACTACCCATACTTTATCCTTGAAATTTTTGATTAGAAAATTATTGTATTATTCATTGAAGAAGTAAGTGTAAATACTGAGTAATTATTGGTATTCGATCACGTATCTGTTCATAATTCAGTAATCTTTTTTTGTACAGTATTCTTGCAATTCGTCTTCTAACTTCAGTTACATAAGTATTTTATGTTCTAAAGTTACGATAAATGATAGAAGTATATGCTTCTTCATCTTAGGCTTCGTTGCTGGTCGAAATGAAAAACAATCAAATTCGCTATTACCATTCAGTAATTTCAGACATTTAAAGCGGGCAATAAGTGATGATGATGATAATACTCAATTAATTCAACAATTCCAATTGGATCGTAGTGATGACGAGGATTATTTGGATGAAAAACAACATCGATTGTTGAAATTATTAACACTTAACAAAAAACAAATGCAGAGAAAATTTGAAGAAGATTATGATTATTTAGATAATGTTGATACCATAAATAAACAACTATTCTTTTCTCAACCTGACAGACGACTGGTTCGAAATCGAAAACCAGAATATCAATATGGACGAAAATCGCATTGGGATACGTTTTTTGGTTGAATAGTTAATCACATCATCAAACAATCTGACTGTTTGTGCAATAAAACTTGGTCTCTTATTTTTACCGTTGTTAGCCAGTCCATAAATACAAAAACATATTGAAGATTGGTTTTGGAAAGATTTTGTTATTTTTGCATTTCATTATCTTACTTTCACGGAATATGTTCCACGTTGGTTTTGGTTTGTAATTAATAAACTATTTTTTTTATACAAATCTCAAAAAACGCTGTTTTCCATGTATGTAACTCGACAGAAGCTCCTAGAGATCGGGTTTAAATACACTAGTATTAATATAAAGTATTTTGTTCAAGGTTATCTTCTGTCAATCTGTTCTTCCATGGAACTTTGTCGATGAATTTTTGTCCTTTTTGTAATTTTAGAAATATTTTAAGAAGATAAAAAGCAAAAGAGTAAATGAATGACTTTCAGATACTCTTATTGACCGACTGACAGTCCGTTGTCATGACTTCTGGCCCGATGGGGCAATACTGTCCGTTTTGACAAGATATATTGCCCGAAAAGGCAATATGCTCTGGTCAAGGCCCCTTTCGGCCAGATTTCCACATCTTTTTCTCGCAACGCATCACCGCAAAAATGAAAGCAATGATGTATAAAGAGACTTATTCCACTCGAAAGAGCGTCAAAAACTGCGTAAAATGACGCTTCCCCACAGTGTGGAGGTGCTTATTATTCCAAAGTACACAGGAAGTATCTTCGGAGGTTTTATTACCGGAACGGGCAATATGTCTTGCCCGATCAGGCAAGTAATCCTATTCTCGATGTTAACATGCACTATTTAACTAAACATATTTAGTGTTGCAATGACCATTAAAGATGTCAACATTAAAGATTAGCGTAATGTAAACTCGCAGTGAAATTTTATTTTCAGCTTATTATACAGTGACGGATAGAGCTCATCGAGCTGATTAAGGAAATGTACTTTTTAGTTTTTCAAAAAATTTTCCATGTCTAAAAATTGAAAATACTTGAAGGATGCAAAAACTCGAAAAATTCTTCAAGTTCAAAAAACCTTTAATATCTCGGCTCTAGATTATTTTGAAGGCTTCAAACAACTTTTTTCGAATTCAGCGTTAAAATCTGAATCTCAAAATGGTATTTGATCAATTTCAAAGTTAAAAGCCTGTTAAGCATGGACGTTCCTAACCAGCCCGCTAAAGTGCAGGCATGCAATTTTGTAAACCTATCCAGGTTTTTGTGTTAAGGGCTGCAGTCATCATTGGCACGTCATTAGATTCACTGAAAGATCAGTTTTAAAAATATGATTCGCTTTTTCAAATTCATTTTTTCTAAATCCGCGGCGAAAAACTCGAAATTTTACCTGAAACTTTCAATTTCCTGCACCAGAACTCAACTTTTATGCAATCAAAATATTATACTCGACATCACGATCAAAAACCAAGTCGACTAATGTGTATTTCTTTTTCATTTTGTTTTCCTGGATTTTTTCCTTTCCCACTCTACTTCCCTCTACACAACAAGAACTCTTCTTCCGAAAGTATAAAGTAACGTCGACTAATGGGTATTTTAAAATTTTGACCTGATTTTGAAAATCTCAATAAGTTTTTGGCGTAAAATTTCGAAAGATATTGAAGTAGTCAGATAGGATAGAAATGTACATACAAAAAGTCACAATTCCGGTTCTTAATGAGAACCAAGAACCGAACATCCCTAATCAACATTTATATCAGGTTTCACATCATTTTCACCAATTCGTAAATACGGATTTAGAATGCATAGCATGTTTAATACCAAATCGATAATTTTTGGTAAAGCAAATTTAAAAACTAGTGTCGTTTGTCGTGTGTGTATTGTATCGAGGTGAAGGAGCCTCTTTTTATAGTATTCTCCGGCATTGTGCAAGGTGCCACTAGGAGATATTTTTGTTCTTTCTTTCATCACATTGTCTGAAAAAATAGGAGAGGAAATCGCTTTCGTAGGAAAAAAACACCCTTAACAAGGAGGGAAGACAAGAGAATGATGTCATGACTTGCATCATCGTTTGAATGCAAATGCGGCAAAATCCAAATTGGCGTGATACCAAGTTCGTTTTACTGGAAGAATTCGATCAGCCGATTCGCGTGTTTAGTTTTCGCTGATAAGATTGGGCACAAAGGACGGCTAACGGTTTCTTACGAAAACTGGCACAATATAATTTCTCAACTTTTTTTCGATAAAACGAAAGAACATGTTCATAGTAACTATACCTATATCTTACTTTTTCTATAAACTCCTCTAGGGAGTCCGCTACAAGAGGTGAAGCACTAGCAGAAGCACTGAAAGTAAACAATACTCTCAGACAACTTGATCTTAGATGGAACCAAATAACCGATAGAGGCGTTGAGGCACTAGCAGAAGCACTGAAAGTAAAACATATTTAAAGCTAATCGGTGATATATAAGAAGAAACACGACACTGAGGAGCAGCAGAACATATATTTTAGTTCACTTAGATGTGTTACAACATGCTCAAAATAAATTTGTTTCTCGGTGTTTTGAGACTGAAAAGTACTCGAGATTGCAGATTCGCAGTATTTCCTCCACATTCCCGTATTTTTAAGATGTATAGAAAAATGTTCAATATGTTTTTTGTAGAAAATTAAATGAGGCATCTTTTAAAGTAATTTAAAATTTGATTATACTTTTTGACTGAAAAACGAGTAATCATTTTGAGACACTCGATATATGAGCCTGGTTACTTTGCACACTGATGGATGAGTGTAACAGAAAAATCGAAAGTGAGAAAAATATTCCATGAGTCATCATAAAACGATCAAAAATGCCCTGAACAATTTGAAACGTAAACAGACGCGCTTAGCTGTGCTCAGCGGCGTAACCAGAATTTTTAGACCAATGGGCAAACTTCTGTTGTGTCGGAGAAAAACGATGGGCAAAATGGGCAAGGTTTCTGTTGGTGGCCCAAAACATTTGTGGTCCAAAAAGAACACAAAAAAATGAAATGAGGTATTTTTAATCAAAGATATGCATCAAACTCAAATTTTTACTATCTACAAACTCAAATACATTTACTATCTAATTCAAAAATAAACAAATAATTCTGTCTATCCACACTCTTACATATATCTTACTAAACGTTATAAGAAAAAAACTTCATACGTACATCTCCCAAGTAAAATTTCAATGGGCAAAAACTTACTAATAAAAATTACAATGGGCAAATCTCCAAATGAAATGGGCAATTGCCCATTTGCCCCTCCCCCTTGGATACGCCACTGGCTGTGCTGTTTTTTTGATTGAGTTCAAGTGGATCAACACCTTTTCATTCGGCTTTCATTGATCCCTTATTTTCGTTTTAACAAAACGCGTTTTATTAAACAGCCGTGCTCCTTTCCTCCGTTTGCGTGAAAGAGTCCGTTTTATTGCCTTCGATGTTTTAAAACAGGCCAAAAGACAAAATATCGAAAATCCGCATTTGTCCGGTTTTTATGGATAGAAAACATATTTAATTAGTCGAAACATCTTCGAATGCGTTTGTTTATTCGTCGTGGAAAAAAACACAAAATTATTTTCGAACCACGTATTCTTCCGTTTTTCAACTTGAAACGGCAAAATAAAAATGCGTTTTTTTCACCAAGTGTTTCACTCTCACTAAGTTTTTTCATCATTTAACAAAAAACAATTTATTAAAAAAATTTGGATATAGATCAGACGTAAGTTAGTACTTCATAACAGATATCTGTGCAAAAAAATTCATACAACCTTTGAGCTTCACAGACTGTTTGTGTTCTGTGTTTTAGAAATATTTAGAAAATACAGAGCATTTTATTGAAAAATATCTGCGAAGTAATGGGATTTTAATGTTTCAGTTATAACAGATGGATCCCAACGATACCAAAAACTGGAAAAGGACCCTGTCGGATTTGGTCGGACCCCTTGTAGAGGAACGCCGAGTACAGGGTTTTGTAGAGAATTTTTTTCTGCGTCGAATGGTATATGACTTAGGGTATCCCAGTTCGACTTTTATAGAGAATTTTGGGTAAATACCTACTTTTGGTCACTATACGATCCTATTCCAAGAAAAACTCATTAATTAAGAAATGCATCTGAGAAAAATTTTGTGTTCTATTTAGTCTTATAGAGCGAAGTGTGCGCTACAAAACTGCATATCAGAGACCTTCGATACGATGACTTTCGATCGGGTTTGAGATTGATTTTCATCGAGAAGTACCATTTTGCAGCCGAGATGGATATCAGTGTAGCAAGCGCGGTTTTTTTCGTACCAACTGGAACCCACGCCATTTTTTGTCAGAAATTGCGCATAGGCTGCCTTTATTACTCAAGTTTCAGCTTGAAAATCGAAAAGCGCCTTACTCAAAATCGCCTTACACTGACCGTGAAGCACCTATTGTGAGATCCAACGCTCATCTTATCTTCACCATAGTTTTAAAAAAATGATGTTATATTATGAATCTGATCTTAAAATATTGCTCAAAGACGAAATCTGCGTCGCACACACTATTCTAGAAACATCGCGTAGCTATCTCCTTACATCCAACCATCGATATGTCTGTAATCCTCGTCAACTAACCATGCATTTCATCTACGATTTTCTATGTACACTTTTTCAGACATGAAGTTGAGATTTCTTTCAGAATCCTAACAGATCTTTTCTCAGGACGCAATGTGAACAACTGATGAAGTTAGTTTGAGATTCAGATACTGCTCAGACTGTCCTTCGATTTCTCACGTAATGATGAAATTCACGAAGGTATTAGAAAATGTTAATTGATAGGAGAATAGTTGCTAGCATTCCAGAATTTTGTTTCGGAATTGATCCGTGCGCGTCGGAGGTTTCCATCCAAAATGACGCGCATGACAGTAGTGGTCTTTGATGGGATCGTCGTTGTCGTTTGCATCAAATCTCACGCAGAGAAAGTATTTGGTGTTGTTGGAGTGACGACTGTGAAGACGGCAACGAAGAAGATTGTCGTCAGAAGGTGACAGTTCGATAGCAAATTCCTC